GGAGTGGACCACCACGCCGGGATGTTTTCCCCATTCGTCGCTGCAGACTCAAACATCTGACACTTCCCCATGACTTCCGTGCCACCGCGGTCCTCCTCACCTATCTGCTTTGTGTTCCAAATGGAATCAGAGAACTGGACGGCGTTCTCCGCGCTGGTTCCGTTCACCAGAACGTAGTTGTTGAAGCCCAGGAGCGAGAGGTCCCGCAGGTGGCAGCCGGTGTGGGTCTGCGCTTCCAGGGTGTAGAGGGGACACTCCTGCTGCGCGTGCGTCCTGCGAGGCCCCACCGTTTTCCCGTGAAAAAGAACCCGCGTTCGCTCGCCTTTCCCGCTGCGGCCCCCGTGGAGGCGGCCCGGCTCACCTGGTGTTTGCTATGAAGAGGAAGTACTGAGTGTCCTGGGGCGCGGCGGGGCCGCGGGCCCACGTGCAGTTCAGGTAGCTCGCGTCGTAGATGAAGCAGGACAGGTTGCGGGCGGCGCTGTCCTTGAGCCCTGGCGAGGGGAGCAGCCGGGTGCTTACCCAGCGCCTGAGGGCCAGGCGTGCGGGAGATCCCAGCACACGTGCCTACCTGGGTTGGGGTACCGCAGCTCCTCCCGGACGGACGCCCCCTGGACGGTGGCGTGCACCTCGAATCTCACCCCTGTGTGCAGCAGCATGTAGTTAAAGGTGCACCTGCAGCCTGTGGCCCTCATCTGGAACGTGGCAGTCACACAGCCGATCAACAACCTCCCTCTGCTCTGTCCCTGTCTGTGGTGTGTCCTCACCGGGACCCGTGACCCCCCCTGCCTCTATCTGTGAATTCCCCCTGTTTGCCTGCTCCACACACCCTGGAGGGATCCCCCTTGGCCCCACTTGCGGGGCAGACAAGCATGTGGATGATCCGGTGGGACCTGATTGGAATATCAGGGAAGCTGGACGTGGTGGTGGTGCACGCCTGTCATCCCAGCACTGTGGGAGGCTGAGGCAGGAGTACTGCAAGTACTATCCCACGGGAGGCAGCTGAGTGACTTAGAGAGACCCTCCCTCAAAGGGGAAAATGCGAAGTGGAGGGAGGGAGGTCTGTGGGAAGACGCTGCCTCAGCCTTGAGGGAAGGAGAGAAAGAATCACAGGGAGGGAGGGACGCAAGAGCTGGTACACTGATCCATGCACACTGGCTTCACACCTGCACAGCTCACATACCTACATCTTGGACGTGGCCCCTATGCGCATCCACACATGCATGGAGGAAGAAAATGTGTTCACACACGGTAGAATACTATGCAGCCATGAAAAAGGATGCATGCAAGTCAGTCCTAGGAAAACGGGTGCACACATGTGTCTTTAACGTGTTACCCTTGTCCTGGATGAGGTCCACGTGTGGGACCCTTACTGCGTGCAGGGACCGCACCTTACCATTACCTCGGTGGGCTCCATTTCATCAGAAATCATTTTACACCTGACGTCAGTGGCATTTTCCAGACAGCTCCAAGAGAGTGTCCTTGACGTGGGGTTGAACGTCATGTTGAGCCTGAGGGCCGGATCAGGATCTGCAAAGCACAGACACTGGCTTCAGAAGCAGAGCTGTCCCCATCTCCTGAGGGACACCAGGACAACCACCAGGGACCCCCTGGCGTCCCTAACCAGGTCTTGAAATCCAGGACCTATCCCGACATTGAGCACGGGGCGTCCTTAGGGGTCCATGCTCGGCCTCCCCAGAGCTCTGGCCCCGTCCCACGGAGCTTGGTCACACGGTGGATGGCGCGGCCCTGCTGCTCAGATGCACGCCTGGTGCACACCCACTCACAACCATGCCCAGCTACACACACTCAGAAGCCTCACAGCCCCATGACACACACATTGCCACGCTCACAGCACCACCCACGCACTGTGGCACACACGGGCTGACACGGATGTGCGCCGTCCCATGGCGAGGTACATGCACACGGTCAGAGCGGCTCACACCCCCCACACGCCCATGCAGACTGAGCCAGGGACCACTGTGGGCTCAGGATGCAGGGCCCCGGTCCTTGGAGATAAACCTCACCGCACCCCTCACGCCCAGCGAGAGCCCAGCGCTGGCAACGCCCCTGACCGTGAGGCCCCTCTGCAGCACTGCAAGGGGAAAAGCCCTAAATCAAGCCGGGCGTGGTGGCGCACGCCTGTCATCCCAGCACTCGGGAGGCTGAGGCAGGAGGACCATTTGGAATTTGAGACCTCCCTCGCCACTCTCCCCCAGGAGCCTAATGAGAACGCCGACACCCCACCCCGCCGGGCACCTACCCGTCGGCTCCTCGGTCAGAACGGCCGGGCCCAGGCAGAGGGCCAGCAGCAGCACGGCAGGGAGGACGCTCCGGGGGCTCCCCGCGCGCCGGGGTCCTGGGGACAGAGGCACAGGGTGAGAGGCCGCAGCACGGGGTCCCCGGACCCGACAGAGGCGCAGCGGGCTGCGGACAGCCAGGAGCTCAGCGCCGGTCAGCATGTCGGAGGGGTCCGCACCAGCGTCACCACGGCCACCACGCGGGGACGGGGCGGGGACGTCTTTGGGTCGGCTGCAGCCCCCACTGTGAGGCGTTCCGGGGTCGCCTTCCCCGGGTGCACGGGGCGCTCTGCGGCAGCACGCCGACCCCCATGTCCAGGCACCGCGGCACCCTGCCGCCCGAGTCCCAGCCTTTTCCTGGATGACCCCCGGCCCCAGCTTTTCCTTATGCTGGACTCCAGCTCTTTGACTTTTGTCTTTTTCAACAAGGAAAAGCAGAAGTCACAGCACAGGCTGAAACTGCAAAGAACCAGGCGTGGTGGCGCACGCCTGTCATCCCAGCACCCGGGGAGGCTGAGGCAGGAGGATCCCCAGTTGCAGCGCAGCCCAGGGAACTCAGGCAATCCGTGAGAGCTCACGGAGGCCGTGTGGATGGAGCAGGGGCGGTGGCAGGAAGGAGAGTCCGCGAACAGCAGCGGCACACCTGTGACAGTGCCCGTCCACCGGGCCACCCTGGTGCCCCCAGCATGGCAGGATCTTCTCCCGGCTTTGGCAGCGCCAGGAAGAGAAAGAGGAAGGTAAGGGCGGGCAGAAAGAGGCAGGAAGTGGTGGGTGCGTGGGCTCCCGAAGAGGCCGCTGCAGCCCAGGCCTGAGCCCTGCGCCAGGGACAATCGCGGGGCACAGGGGGCCGCGGGCCTGCCCCCGGGAGGGCTCAGCACCCCGGCCCTCCCGACCCCGCAGAGCAGAGCTGCGCGCTGCCTGAGAAGCCGGCGGCGGGGGCGAGCGACTGTCCGGAAATTGGTCCCCCGGGGGGCAGTTCCCCAAACCCGTTCCCCTTCGCGGAAGCCCTCGCGCCTTATTACTGTGCAGCGTGACACAGCGAAACCGCACACTTCTGTATTTTCCGGCACCCAGGCCTTCACGCTGAGCTGCACCCCCAGCCTTTTTCTTATTCTGAGACAGGGACTCCCTCCCCGGGTCACCAAGTCGCCCAGGCTGGGCTTCAGCTTGAGACCCTCCTGCCTCAGCCTCCCACAGTGCTGGGATCACAGGCGTGCGCCTCCGCGCCCGGCTTTGCACTTATTTAAACAGATTAAGAACCCTAACTTTCCTGAATGACCGCATGGGAACCACGGCAGCTACCGCCGCACTCCGGGAACTGATCACCACGCAAGTCTGGGTTGGGTTGGGGCTCCCAGACTGTATCAGTTATCACGAGAGTGGCTCAGTTATCGCGAGACTGGACCAGTTATGGCGAGGCTGGGACAGTAACAGGGAGATCCGCTTAATTATGGCGAGCGCAGAGCAGCCATTAGTTATCGCGAGACTGAATTTGTCATCGCCAGACTTGGATGGTTATCAAGCGGCCAGATTAGTTATCGCGAGATTAAATTGCTATAAAAGGAGACCACCACAAATTGTTCGTTCATTTCTGCGTGTGGTTTCTTGGTTCCACTGGCTGTGAGATCTGCGACCTGGAGCAAAAGCTTCACGTTTCTCGCGTCCCCAGTCTCCTTTTTTCGGAGGCTTTACACTCAACTACTGCACCCCAACCCTTTATTTTAATTTTCAATTTTCGCCGCTTTGATTTTGAGGCCGGGCGTTTCACTAAAGTCCCTGAGTTCATCAGGCCGTGATCCTCCTGCCTCAGCCTCCCAGAATGCTGAGCTCACAGGTGCACGCCCGCGCGACCCGCCGAGCCGCACCCATTTTAGGGCAGTGACAGAAAACCTGGGCGCCCAGCCGCCTGCGCAGCTCGGCCCCGCACCTCTCCCGGTTCTCCAGGGTCCTCCCGGCCCGGCGCACAGATGCTCACGGGGGGCCGGAGAGTTGAGCTCTAAGGCGACCCTGGGGGCCCCGGGGCTTAGGGCTCCTGCGGTGTCCAGGCTGCGCCCCTTGCTGCCCCCGGGAGTGGCGCTGAGCAGTCAGGACCCGCAGGAGCGTCTGCAGAGGCAGGCAGGTCTCCGTGTGCACAGACCTCAGAGCGCAGGGCCTCGGGGTGCCCTCGCCCCGCCGTTCCCGCTGCCCACCCTCAGGTCCGGCCTGCCCGGGGCTCCAGGGCGCAGCAGCCCCAGCAGCAGAAGCAACGAAGCCCACAGACCCGACTCACGGCTCCCACAGCCCGGTGGGACGCAGCTGCTCACCGCGCGGCATGGGGCTCCCCGCCTGGTCCCGGCATCGGGCGCCCGCTCTGCAGCGCTGAGAGCTCAGGACGTGCAGGTCCGAGGTCCCAGCCCGCCCCCGCCCGGCCTTCCCTTTTCTCCTGGGCCTCGGCCTGCAGCTTCCTCTTGGGAAATGCGTCCCCGGCAGTGTCATTGGCTGACACTCGCCCCAGCCCACAGAGCGGGGCTCCCTGTGTGAGTCACACCCTGCACCCCACGCCCACGGCTGGCCTGCACCCCTCGGGTGGCCGCGCCGAGCTGCGAGATGCTCTCAGCTGGATTGCTTCACGAGGACGAGGACGTGCGCCCGGCCTCGGAGATCTGGGGACAATGCACTAGCTCTCCGTGTGGCACGAGGCCTGGTCGCCTGTGTGGTGGCCCACACCCGCCATCCCAGGACTCAGGAGGCTGAGGCAGGAGCATCACTGCAAGATCAAGGCCAGCCGGGGCTACAGAGTGAGCTCAAGGCCAGCCTGAACTGCACAGTGAGACCCTGTCTCAAAAAGACAAGAAATAAATGATTAGGGCTGGGGGTCGCACGCAGCCGAGGGTCCCAGGGAGCTGTTGTCCACAGAGACCCACAGATGGGCCCCCACGCCGAGGACGGACAACGTGCTGCAGCCCTGGTCTGTGGCGTGATTCCTGGTAACAGCAACTGTCCTCAGCCCTCTGTGTGACATAGTGGCTGCTGGTGCACCAGCCCTCGCTGTAGTCTCTGGAAGCCACGGTCTGGCTGTATAGCCAGGGCTGGCCTTGAACTTGTGGAGATCCTCCCACCTCAGCATGCTGAGAGCTGGGACAACGGGTGTGCGCCACCACATCGGGCTGGCCCTGTGACTGTGACATCTCTCCTGAAAGTCTAGCATGCCCTGGCAAGAGTGATCAGGTGGGCCGGGGATTTAGCTCAGCGGCAAAGTGCCTGCCTGGCAAGCACAAGGTTGTGAGTTCGATCCCCGGTATGGAAAAAAAAAAAGAGTGATCAGGCCTCAGGCTACGCCAGGAAGATGCCAACTCCCGCCAAAAAGTAATGAGAGACGGCACGGTGGCCCACACCTGTAGTCCCAGCACTCTGAGAGGCTGAGGCAGGAGCGTCTCAAGTTCCAGCTGAGCCTGGGCAACTTAGCAGCACAGGAAGATCTGGTCTCATATGAAAAGCAAACTCCCAAGGAGGGCTGGAGGGCTGGGGAGTTAGCTCAGCGGCACAGCGCCTCCCTGGCAAGCCAGAGGTCGTGAGTTCGATTCCCGGTACCGGGGGAAAAAAAAAATCAAAGAGGGCTGCGGACGGGGCTCAGCCGGAAAGCCATGAGTTCAAGTCTGCTGCACATGGGTGATCTCTGGTGGGTGCCCTTTCCCTCCCCTCCCACCGGCCATCCCCCGCGCCTCTCCCGTCTGTGCAAACTCTTTCCCTAGTTCCTGTCCTCTGTCTTTTACTTTGTTCTTCACTTATACTCCAGCTCCTTCACAGAAGAGAAGCCGTGTGAGGCTGAAGCCCGGGTGTCTGATTTATTTCACTCAATATGGCGTCATGGCGCACCCGTTTTCCGATGCGTGACCCAAGTGTACCTTCTTCGTGGCTGCATAGTACTCCACGCAGTGTATGCACCATATTTTTTTAATCCATTCATTTACTAATGTGCATAGGGGCCGCCTCCAGCATGTGATCCTTGTGCTGCCCTCAACGTGAGTGTTTGGACACAGGGTCTCACCATGTAGGCCGGGCTGGCCGTGAACTTGTGCAGTCCTCCTGCCTCAGCCTCCCGAGTGCTGGTCTGACAGGCGGGCAGGGCCTCGTCCCCGTGCCTGTGTGCTGAGGGTGTGGTGCTGTGTGGTGTTGGCTCCCGGGACCCAACGTAGCTGGCACAGCTCAGTGGTGATGCGTGGGGCAGAGGCCAGGGACCGCAGGCGACCGAGCTGGTGCTGGATTCTAGGTGCGCAGTGGCCCAGGTTGGGTGTGTGGCTGTGTGCTGGGGACCCTGGTGGGTGGGGTGCCGGTCCCCACGGTGGGCGTGGCGCCCTCCCAGTGTCGCTCCCCCCTGGCCCGGTGCTGCCATCACTGTGACCGGGACTCCCCCAGCAGGAAGCAGAGGCAGGATGGTCTGCCCGGCAGCCCTGCAGGGAGCCCGGGACGGTGGCAGTGGACGCAGCGGTGTCCCTGAGCTGTGTCCTCGTCCTGACCCCAGGCCTGGGTCGGGGCTCGGCTGCACGTGGGGTCATCGTGCACCCGGGGTGGACACCGCGTCCCCCAGCTCCTGCTTCCTGGCGGCAGCCAAGGCCGGACCCTCGGTGTCCACGAGGCGCCTGGGTCCGCGTGGGCCTGGCGACCCCGTCCTGGGCCCGGCGTGCTCGCGTGCCGGAGCTGGGGACCCCCATGGGCTGCAAGTGTCCGCAGCTTCCTCTTCTCAGGCAGAAGTGGCCGCGGGGCCCGAGGTGCTTCCCGGCCTCGGTCGGCCTGGACCCCAAGTTCCCCCGAGGGCCCGCCCTGCGGCCGGGGGCAGGCGCGGCCTCACGCTGAGCTGGGGGACGGGGACAGAGGCAGACTCCAGCAGGGCAAAGTTTTCAAAGTGCGCGGAGCCGGGCACGCTGTCGCACGCCTGTCGTCCCAGCACTCGGGAGGCTGAGGCAGGAGGGTCTCAAGGAGGAGTCTAGTCTGGGCAACTTAGCGAGACCCCGTCTCGAAATAAATAAAAGCGCAAATAAGCAAATGCGCACACGGGGGAACTCACTTGTCAGGGCCTGGGGTGCCGCGGCCGCTCCCAGGACTCTCTGGGATGGCAGCGGCTGTCGTTAGCTTTGGGGTTCGCCTTCCCCCGCCCCCACCCCCACCCCAAGTGACGTCGCCACGCTCGGAGCGGGGACCCCGATGCCCGCACGGACCCCCCGCCGCCTCCTGCGCCCCAACTGCTCCGGCTGCACCCCGGAACCCGCACCCAGGACCCGCTCCAGGGCCAGCTCGGGCTCCGGGACCCGGACAGTGCTGGGGACACTGCGCGGTCAGCCTGGGCGGGGTGCTGGCCCCCGGAGGTGGTGTTTCATCCGTCTGTCTGTCCACCTATCTCGTCTGTCTGTCCATCCATCCATGCGTCCATCCATCCATCCATCTTCCACACGTCCATCTGTTCTTCTGTCTGTGCGTCCCTCCACCCATCCATCCGTCCGTCCGCCCATCTGTCCACTCTCCCCCCATCTGTCCATGTACCTATCCCCCCATCCGTCCACCTACCTGTCTGTCTACCTATCCATATGTCCATCCCTCCGCCTGTCTCAGAACCAGGCGGGGCTGGCGTCCTCCCCCGAGGCATGTGACCTTCGGTGACCCCTGGGGCGCCCCGGCTGTTCCCCAGCCTCACCCCACAGTGCCCGCACCGGACCCCGTCTCCCGGGTCCCTGTGGGACAGACAGACAGACAGGCAGCCAGACCGGTCTCACGCGGCTCCTCCCCGCTGCCGAGTCCGCGGCAGGCGAACACTCTCCAGGCGCTGCTGCTTCTGCCTCATTTATACTCCGGGTTTGTCACGGAAGAGAAACATCCATACGGGAGCTCCTTGTGCGTCTGATTTATTTCCCGCAACACCCTGGTCTCAACGTGCATCCATTTTCCTATCCGGGACCCCGGTGTGCCCTTTTTCATGGCTGCATAGTACTCCACATCGTGCAACCATTTTCTTCATCCATGCCTCTGTCGCGGGACACAGGGGCCTCCTCTAAGATTTGCCCGGCGTGAGCAGTGCTGCTGTGAAAGCTCTGCGTGACCGATGGGCCCTCTCTTTCTTTTTCCCTTCCCCCCTTTTATTTCTAACAGGATGCTGTAGCTTAGACTGACCTCAAACTCGAGATCCTCCTGCCTCAGCCTCCCAACCGCAGGGATTACAAATTTCCCGTTTCCCTGCAGCACTGTCCTCTTAAGAATTTCAAAAACATGAGCTATGGCGTGCGTTGGTCCCGTGAAAGGTGGGGAAGATTTGCTCTGCAGAGGCTTCGCTCGATGCTGTCAGAATGGAGCCGGGGGAAGCGACCAGACTCCACAGGGAAAGACCTTGGTTTGCAAACTGCACGGAGGGCCCGGGTGCTGCGTCGCGTATCTGAACCCCACACCCTGGGAGGCCGAGGCAGGAGGATCGCAGCTTTCAGCCCAGCCTGGGCAACCTGCTGACTGGGCCGGACGCCTGGTCTCCAAAGAAAACAGGCCGCGCCCCGGCGCCTCGGGGTCACCACCCCGCTCCCCCAGCCCGCCCGGCCGGAAGTCGAGTCCGGAAGCCGCGGCCCGAGGCCCTTTGACCCCGGAGGCCCCGGGGGCTGCAGGGAACCCGGCTGTGCACCGCGGAGCTGCGGAGGGACCCGGGGCAGCCGGGCTCCCCGCACCCCGCACCCCGCACCCCGTTCCGGACCAGCTGCACTTTACGCTGCCTCTGAACCCGGAAGTCCGCGCGGAAAGAGCTTCGCGCGCTGCACACCTAAATGACAGCGCCGGGGCCAGCGCTCTGGGAGGCTGAGGCAGGAGGGTGCCACGCTGGACCCCAGGCCGGGCTGGAAATGAAGATAAAAAGGGGCCGGGCTGCGCACGCTGTGAGCGGCGCTGGGCGGCCCGACCT